CTAGGTGAATTACTTAGGAAATCCTGCTTGGGCAGTCAACTTTATCAGATTTGGTGGATTCCAGACGTTGCAGTAGGTTGGGCGGGTAACTTGACCCAAATGTGATTAAATTCGCGTCGTCTGGCGGGGCCTCGTAGCTCCAGCGGTTAGAGCGTTGGCTGTACTATAGCCTTCGCCTTACTGCGTGGGTTCGAATCCCACCTTGGCGCCGAGTTTTTCACAGTTGGGTCAGTATGAATTATTCAAAATCTGCCAAAATGTCAATGTATGTGGTCAGTCAACCTTTGACCACGGTAAGCGCGGAGCCTGAACAAGGTTCTTTTGGGCGCATAGGGTCGGTTTTCCTAACCTGATGGCGGCCGCTTCTGCTGTTGCTAACAGGCGTTGGCCCAGTAGCTTAGGGTAGCTCGAGGGGACCTTATAAATCACACGAAATGCTTCAGCGGGGTGCACACGATGCCCTGAGTCCACTGCATGCGCCAGGATGGCGCTGTCTATTCTCCCAGTTTCACCTTTTACCAGCCATGGGGGAAGGTGCTCTTGTATTCCTTTGGAAAGGCGCCGACTCGTACGACCAATATAACCTGTTCCACAGGAGCGAGTGAATGAGTAGATGCACATTGCGGCGGTCTGAGCTGGCAGCCTATCCTTGCCTCCTCCGCCTAAAATAGGGTCAGTAGAGAACCTTTGCCGCTGGGAAAGTTCCCGAGACAGCTTGGTCAAGGCGTCCTCCTAGGAGTTCACTTGCAGAGTCTCCTTGGAAAGGGACGTTGAGGTACAACTTTATCGAAAGCAACGTCTGCCCGCCACCATTTCTTCTGAATATGGCTATGGAGGTTTTCGCAACTCTAAAAAGTACATTGCCGGAGACCATGGTAACACGTTTGTGGCATTGTCCGACTACTTAACACACTGCGGTCCAGGGACCGACAGGCCTCTCACCACTATCGACCGCTCTGAGTTGGTAGAGTTTCGCATCATCGTTGAAAGTGTTTTCGGGTAGGCTAATAATCCACTTCGCTGAGTTGTAGCTACGCCCTTAGCTTGCCACACGTGTTTGGTCAAGGTTCAGGCCGGATCCATAACACCGGCTGTCTTGGATATACACGTACAAGATAAGTTACCGTGCATAAGCATAATACGTGGAAAAATAGGGGCTACTTACGGAAGTATAGTAGGTAGCTTAACTGGGACGCGTTCAAGATCGGCTCTCACACACACTGGGGCTGCGCACATGCCCACTTAGAGGTTCCGATCCGAAGATAAGGTGGACTGACGGTAGTTCTTAGGAAGTTAGGTTGAGATAGATTAGGCGATGCAAATGGCAATTGGGCGAGTAGCCTGTGAAGGCCCGTGTTTCGTGACCGCTACATCGAGAAATTTACCCATTACGTCTCACACCAAAGTATGGTCTGTTTGTCACTGTGTAGAACGCTGCGAATTGGGTGCAAAACAACCCTCACAGTGCGGTCTAGGGGCCAACAGACCTTTAGCCACCGTCGGCCGCTCCGAGTGGTGGTTAGCAAGTGAGGGCAATTTTGTACCGAATTCGCAGTGCTCTGCCCAGTGAAAAACAGACCATACAAACTCACCGAGCCCTGTGAGATATAATGATCGGGGTTCTTGATGTAGCGGCCACGGAACCTGGGTCTACACAGACTGCTCCAAATTGCCACTTACATCGCATAGTCTATTTCAACCTAACTTCCTAACAACACTCGTCAGTCCAACTTATCTTCGGATCAAAATTTCTAAGTGGGCGTGTTCACATTGCAGTAGGGATTTTATTTGCCTGACGTCTCGTACTCACGCTGGAGCTTAGAATCAGGGGTGTGGAAGCACAGGGGTCGTAGTTGTTGTGCAACCACGTATCTACTCAGACCAACAGCTCCCATATTCGCCGTATATGGCCCTGATTGGGGCGTTAATCACTTGACCGTTCACATGCGAGACGTTGGTTGCCGTAATTTCGTCACCGGTGTTGGCGTGACTATCACTCGGCACTTCGGCTCACCGATGCTGTCAGTGGAAGCAGGGTTCGCTCCTGTACACCCAACACTTTTTGCTTTGCCTATGCACAATCTCAGCAGTAAATAGGGAGGAGCCACTGATAGAAGCGAACAGGCGAGTTCCAGGTAGCAGTTCAGAAGACGAAGATGTGATCACTGGAACAAGAAGTTTATTTGCCTGATGTTTCGGATTTTCACTCGAACCGCCATCATCAGAGACAGTCACAGATAAAGGTAGTGGTGGCACAAGGAGTGCAGTATTTATAGCACGTAGCTCCCGTGGGACCATATGCGCACTGTAATTAACAGCTCTCGCAATCACCGCTGGGGTCGTGATTGATGCGATGGTGGCTTGTCAGTCCGCGTCCGAGTCGTTAATGGCCGTGATTTCGTCATCCGTGCTGGATGCTGCTGTGACGATTGCTCGGCAAACTGGCTCACTGTCACTGGGATGATTGCTCACCCGCGGCCCCCCCACGTGACTGATTCCCCTGTCGAGGGAAAATGTCAGCACGGAATACGGTAACTGGAGGTCATTGCGCTTGTTGATGGATTGCGGGCCCGAGAACTATGACTCGAGCAGCTCGCGGCTCACGCGGTTGTCATCTGCTAGTCTGGCTTGGCATGTGGTTGTTCAGTAACTGCATCTTGCAAGTGCTGCAGCCCCTATGCGTCTAATACCCTTATCTGCTGACGGGATCCGACGTGAATCCGAAGCGTCAGGTGATTCGGACGACCAAGTCTCCTTCTCAACTGTCCCCTGGAAGTTGCCTTTTCTCTTGAGCCGATAGAGGCTGTTTTACTGTCAAACGAGCCCCCAAGACATCGTTTCTCACTACGCGGGGGCCGACAATTCCTGCTTTCGACTCCCATGCACAACTGCTGGTCAAACTGAAGCTGTCTTCCCACTCTACCTACTGTGGTTCGTCCCCTACCCTCTAATCGTTACTTCCTAAATTGCAAACTCCACTCCAGTTGCTGCTTCAGAGCGGTATGCATCTTCCGTCTTATTGTGTTTTTTGCCCTCATGTCATTTTTGGGTTTTCAGGTCCGCGATATCATCCTGGAGGAGTTTGAGAACGCGCCCTACATTTCCATTTCCACAATAAAAAAGAGACTGGCGGAAGGCGGTTGTGAAAAAATCACAGAGAACGCCCTCAGGTCTACCATCAAGGTATGTTTTTCGAAATGCCACGTAGACATAAACTGCCTACAGAACCGATTCCTTAAGCGCCACGAACTAAAGTCGTAATGATCGTGAAAATGGCAGAGCCTTTCGTTGTAGCACGGTCTCTGACCTACATGGGGTATCATTGAGGACTCCGGGGCA